AAATGGGAGAAGGTATTCACATTGATATTAGGTAGGTATTCTAAATATGCGAAAGCACCCAAATTTAGCGAAAACCATTAAAGAGGAAAGATTTTAGACTTTTTAAATAACTGCTTGGTACTGATTCTTCTAAGTACTCTCTAAAGTCCCAGAGCCTTGCATACTGCCAGACATGGGAGCCACTTGTGTATGATAGTTGAAGTACAAGAAAGAAGATTAATATTGATTTGTCTTTTTCATCCTTTTGCTTTCAGGCCATTATTGTCTCTGTGCCCTGGTGACTGGGAGTAGCTTGTTGCTAAATAGGTTGCTTTATGGGTTAGCTGTGATTTTTTTTTTTTTTTTTTTAATGTTGAAAATGTTCAAATTAATAGTAGAGGTTTTGTGTTAGCTTAGAATATGTTTGGGGGGGTTGAGTTAATTGACTTCTGTTACTGATTTTTGCAGATGTGAAAAGATGTTGTTAAAATAGGGCTTACAGTGCAGTTCTTGTGATCTTGAAGAGATGGGATGGGTTTGTAAAGAACTTGAGTGCTTAGCTGCTGCTTAAAATGATAAAGCAAATTAAAGCCATAGTGAATCCAAATCTCATCCTCTCTCCTATAAATATAAGGAAGTATCACTGAAGTGAATGGTTTATCTTCAGATTTACATTAGTGCAATACAGCTGAATGCAAATTGACCTTCATGTCTATTATTTTTAGCACCAGTGCGACAATATAAATATATTGCTTAACTAGGCCAACTGACGGTTGTGATAAATTGAAGGGATGCTATAGTTCTTTATTGCTTCACACAAGAATAACAGAAGTAGAACTTAAATTTATATGAATTAAAAAACAGATCTTAGAAGATGCAAGGGTTATTGCAGTAAATTATCTACTTATGACATCCAATAGTGAACGTAACTTGAAAACAATTTTTCCATTCTATTTTTTTTTTTTTCCTTAGAAGTCCTCCTTGGCTGAAGCTGCAGTTCTTTTCAGCTTGCGTGCTGCAGTTGTCAGCTATGAGTGGAAATTCTGTATGTTGAGAGAAAATGCTCGGGAGGCTGGTACATAGATAGTAGATTTTCAGGGATGATGAGCTTGAGCTGATCATTTGTCATGTGTGAGACAGACCTTCCTCTGAAAATGTCAATTTTAAGCTGCCACATAAGTGTGGGAGGATACAAGGTGCGGAGGACTCTGGCCAGCAGCCTTGGGATGCCCTCTCCCAGGTTGGGCAGTGCTGGTCTTCTGGTCCGGAAATTGGAGGCTTATTTTTATTACTGATGAAGAAAACTGAAAAATTGCATTACTGATGGTAATAGTAGATACATTTTGTGGACGAGTGCTTGTGATAGTTGGAGGTTTCAGTCCCTCTTTGGGATGGAAAAAATAGAATTTAAGCATGAGAGTCTAACTGATCTGAATTAGTGATTCTATTCCAGTTATATATTATTATACACCTGCTGACAGTGATTTAGGTGGCATGTAATAATCCTTACAAAACTCTTTAACTGTTTTTATAAGTATTAATTTTGGAAGATGAATCTTAAAATCATATTTTTCTTAGCTAAGTMATCCCTGGGATATCTATCTATGACTTCTAGAAAAATATAATTACAGAAAAAAAGCTGGATGCTTTGCTAGTGTGTCCGATGTAAAATGTCAACTACTTTAAACTTGCAAACAAAGCTGTAATGCTTAATATTTCACAAAGGTTAGCATTTTGACTTGTTGGTATTTTAATTTGAGAACTCTATAATCACAGAAGACATATTAAGCATGACAGTTAGAAATTATCAGTCCTCCCCTCCTGCCTGAGATGACTCCAAAAAAGGCAATCATATTCCATTGAGTGTTTGAAATATGAGATGTTGATTGGGAAGCTACTGGGCAGCATAATAGTGTGAAAACGGAGGACTTACATTTCATATTTGTAATGTTTCCTGCAGATGTTTTTGATCCTTTGTATACTAATAGCACCAATAACTTTCTCCTGGGATGCAGTGAACATATTCCTTGTGCATTATAACAAATCCTCAGTGATACACTATGTTCTCTGATTTCCTCAGAATTGATTTATTTTGAGATATTTGTCAACATGTGCAAGTAAGTTCCATGGTAGGAGGAGCTTGAAACCTTTATATAAGAATGTCCTTTCATACTTTCTGTATATGCAAATCATTATTTTCACAATTTAAAGACTTTTATATGCATGTTACAGTTTTCCTCCTTCCAAGTAGGAAGTTTCAAGCAATATATCAAGCAATATATCAAATCTGATGCTTCCCCCTATGTCCTGCCTTTTTTTTTATTATTTTTATTTTTTTTTATTTTTTTATTTATTTTATTTTATTTTTTTTTTTTGGAGCCCTGACTTTTCCACATAGTATGACAAGATCTTACTTTTAAGAGACAATCTTCATTAATGCTGTTTAAAAGCCATGCTCCGAAAACCTGAGAAGCCTGTTACTTCTAATGTTAGCAGTAGTGCTKGATAGATAAATGCAGTGACTTTATTCTAAAATACGAGCATAGCATTTTGGAAAAAGTTTTCATGGTTTGATTATTTTTTTATGAAGTATAATAGCATCTTAAAGATGATAGTCAATGGCTAATCAGTTTATAAAGGATGCTGCTGTACTCATGAGGACCTTCATTATATATCAATTGGATTTTAGTCCCAAAACAAGCTGGTATCAACGRTTTATTGTATTTATTGCAGAAAGAGGCATCTCAAATGCTTTGGTTCAAGATGGGTGTTTCACAATCAAGAAAGAGGAAATGTTAAACCAACCTTGTTATGTTTCAGGGAAATATCAGTTGTGTTCAGAAAGAGGTGGAAAAATCRGTTAATATTTTGTCAAGAGTTAACAAAACAGACTGTAGTCTCTCTCTTTAAACAGTTGGCAGTCAATTTTCTACATTATGTGGAAGGTGGAGTTGAGAAAGAATGACTTGAATTCGTCATGTACAGAAGGACCCAATATTAAACTGCRTAATACTGAACTTGAGTGTTTGCCAGCTCACAGATAATGAGGATGCTGTATTTCAGTGGGCTTTTTGTTTGGTTCATTTTCACTCATAGACAGAAAACAAAATTCTGTCAAAGACTTAGCTTTGCGTTCCCAGTGGGAGTTCCTGCCATAAGTGTTGAATGTGATTACCCAACCTGAAATTTTTGGTAAACAAAAGCAAAATCAATAAACATGAAAAAAGATAGTATACATCTGTTTTTGTCAGGAAACATTCAAAGCTAGTTGATGAGAGCACTTTGAATCCAAAGCACTTTGAATCCCAGACTTGCTGGAACTGAATCAGGCTCCTTTTGCAAGTGATGGGCTTTGCAGTAAGCTCTAACTCGTCAGAATTCTTTGATGCATGAGCTTAATATTAAGCTTATTGATACTTCCATTAGGTCACTGGAGCTACTCATACTCTTGAGTGTTTTTGGGGCTATGTGAGCAGATGAGAGGTGGGAGTTTGCATAGGTGCAAGCTTTTCTTTTGCCCAAGAACTAGTGCAACGTGTGTGTTCGTCGTGCACACTCACCCTCCTTTATTCTTCCTTCTTGTTTCTGAAGAAGCAAGAGGTGGTTTTTAGTAGTACGCCTAGGTCAGGTCACCCATAAAATAAGCCCCTTCATGTCTCTTTTGACAAGTGATGCCTGGAAAATATTACTTTGCATGGCGTTGTTACATRGAAGAGATACATTTCTTCAACATTCAACCATGTTATATTTTTTATCTTTGTTAATTATGCTTGTTACATATAGTTGAATGTTTACAGTTTAGAAAAGGCTGGTATCCTGCTCATATAGGACAGGAATTCATGGTTGTGGATATACATTGTCTTCAGCAAGTTTTATTCTCATGAGATTGTTTTTGTAGTCAGATTTTCCTATTCTGTAAGCAATGAGAATCTTACTCATTGTTTTTCATTGATTCATACCTTTTCTTTTAATGCAGCTAACTGATGATTTGTCTGTGAACAGGGCTCACAGACAACTAAAAAAATCTTGGTTTTAATAAGAAATACTAATGTAAAACAAGATAGTTCAGACTATTTTCTGTCTTACTTTGCATAGTATCCACTTGTATCTGGGAATAAGAGCTGTACAATCAAGTTCTGTCAATATTTATCTTCACTTTGTGCTGTGGGTGTTTCTGAATAATCTAGAGGAGCAGACACAGTGGGTTTGAGGATGAAGAGTAAGGGAAACAACTCCTYAGAGTGGTGGAAAAAGGAGTAAGGGTGCTCATCCTTACTGTTAGATGTTATAATCTTAAATATATATGTTGCTGAAGTTGCAATATAAATATATGTTGCAGTTGATTAAAACTTTCAAATGAAAATATTMATCTAACAGATGTATTTGAAATTCAGCTACTCAAGAAATGTTGCATTTAATTTTTAGTTGCAGCTATTTATATTCTGAAGTTGATATATTCCTGCTAATGGCAGCTTTTAGTTTAAAAAAAAGCATATGCTGTTCTTGAGTCAGAAAAGAAAAAGCTGATTGTGATGATTTGGAGGAAAAAACAGCTATTATGTCCCTGTGGTCAATAAAATTTCTAGACTTCAACAGCCAGCCACATATAGGTAACAGATGAGAAAATACTCTCACCAAACTACAACCAGCTTTAGAAAGAAATGTATAAAGAAATTTCTCTTAAATGTTTGTAATGTAGGCTTCTCTCAGTTAAGCTTGCAGAGTCCAAAAGTACAAATGTGTAGCCATAATAGACTAATTATTTACATATATGTCTGAAGCTGTGCTTTATGCTTTGGAAGTCCAGTAATTATTCACATGTAATTTCTGGGGAATCTCTGGGGCTCCTATGTTAGTTTCCTTCCCACACTTTCTGCAGATGTGGGGCTCCTAACGTCTCCTCTTCACCCAATTCTTTGTTTTCGTGGGTTCCCCTGGTGTCTCCAGGCTGACCACTATGTCTTCATGGTGTTCTGGGGTTCCATGGTTGTGCCCTGCTGCCTGGCACGGTGCCCACGAGGAAGATGAGCCACATCCTCCGCTTCGGAGAGCGTCCGGAGAGCAGGTACGCACAGGCACCATGGAATTAGCACATCGGTTTGGCTATGTTCATCTAAGCCTCAGGCTGCTGAATACAGACTGATTTTTTTTTTTTTTTAATTCTCTCCAGTAAAAGCTAGGATTATATCCTAGGAAAGATGAAGAATCTATAATGCTTCAAACTCGAAAAACTGAAGAGATAATAGGGCAACAGTTAAGGTTCTTGAAGTGCTCAGCATTAGCCACGTCAGATCTTCCCTTATTTGTCTAAACATTGATATAACTGAGAAGCATAAATACTGATGTATGCATCTGTGGTGTACTGATCTGCAATCAGTATACCCACAGATACTGGTGGTTTGTGTTTTTTTTTTTTTTTTTAAAAAAAGACCTACTTAAAGTTTAGACTTGCTAGCACTGAAACTGGTAAAACTCCATTCAGTGGTGCAAGAGTAGAATTTAATTTGTGAGTAGTCTGCAGATACATTTTTTCACTTGTCAGCCCTGTTCTGCAACATCAGTGATAAGAACACTTGATGCTGAACTCAGACCTGCCTGTATTTATTTCTAGTTGTTGTCTCTTGTATTTAATGTGAAACTGCAAAATAATGTATAGCGCTCTCAGTCCAAAAATGAATAGATGTCTGTGGTGCTAATAGTGGATTGCTGCTAATGATGCACACGCTCATGTATGAGATTGGTGCTGTCAAGGTAAATGGGACTGTCACACCCTGGATTTAATTAACCAACGTGATTGAGGAAGCTTCTTCCACAACAAGCAGGGCTCTGCTATATATAGGTCTTGCAGAATCTATAAGTGTTTAATCATTGTCACTGCCTGCGTGCTAAGTGGTGCTTTGGTTTTTGTAAATGTGTGTGCACACATACGCAAAGAACTTGATTTTAGACCTCATATAAATAGCAGTGAATTGGTGCAGCATTTGAGTAGAATTACATACATTTATAATATTACTTTGCTCTTTGAAAGCAAACTATGTTTAGAAGCAAAAAGTGAAGAATTATTTTATGGAAGGAATTTGGTCCTACTAGTGTTCTCAGGGAGACAGAGCGGGGAACAGAGGAAGGAAAATACAAATAGAAAATAGACTTTCTGATATAATCCACAAGGTGTGCTAACTTTTTATCTCTAAATGCTCTTCAGTCTTTTGGGGGATGGTTAGGAGGAGAGCAGTGCAAAAATTCAGCCAGGTCACTTTTACAGTGCTTTTTATAATAACAAGCCATTTTACTTATCATGGCTTACTTTCCTGATAGGAAAGACACCAAAAAAAAAAAAAAAAAAAATTAATAGGCAGTAAGTAATAAAATAAACTGTTGGTGAATATCTGTGGATTGTTAAAATTTAAAAAGCTTCCCTTAACTTACTTCAGGACTGATGCGGAAAAAGTTTTGCTAGCTACTTGACTTCATTGATTTTTCTTTTTCTTTTTTTTTTTTCTTTTTTTTTTTTTTTTTTGGCCTCTATTTTATTCTGCCTTATTTCTTTTTCCTCCTGTAGCTCTCCTTATCATATCTGCCGCTGCATAAATTCAGGGAGCTGAGAAAATAAAGGAAGATGATTATAATCCTTGTCCAGTCTTCCCACAAATAATTAAAATGTCAATGTTCAACCAAAATATTGCTAATAAGAGTTGACAGATCTTTATCATGGACTTGCCCTTTTATTTTTAAGGCCAGAAGGATATCATTAGAAAATCTAGTTTGATTAATATATAGCAAGTAAATTATTTCCTAGCAGATTGTTTGAGCTATGGCCAAGAGTCAGAAGCATTTGGAGTGAAGGCCAACATAATTTGTAATTGGTAGATGAAATCACAGGACTCGGAGACAGGACGTTGAACACTTTCAAATGCTGGCAGATGGCATCTCCTTTCCTTCCCCACAGCATCCTTGGTTGTGTGCTAGGAAGGATTGTTCTCTATCAAGCTATAGTTCTATCTGGTGGCAGATGTATGCGTGCGTATAAATATATAGAAATGTGTGTGTGTATATATATATAGATACAGTTTTGCCTGGGAAGAAGGAGGAATACATGATTTAAAAACAAAATAACAACGAAAAAATCCCAATGTGTTAAATCTTTTTTCTGGGATCTGATGTTTTTAACCTGCGCGTTTGGGTTAAATGTGCATTTGCAGTCAACAGAATACTGAGGATTTCAAGTCTGAGCTTTATTGAAAGTTTCACAGCTCAGTTCTCAGATGATTTTGTGCTCTTCGGGGSAGAATCCTATGTTTATGATCAGTGGTACATATTACCATGATGTCCATGAAGAAAAAGTTTAGAAAAATAAAGACACGAAAACCTCTCRGATTACAAAAAGGTGCATAAATGTGTAGTTATGGCTAAAACGGGGCTTTTTAGTTGCTTCAAAATCATGTCATAGTTCCATGGCAAAAACATCTTTGAAGCTATTGAATTATCCAGCTGCATTTAGACAATGGCAGTAACACAAATCACCATAAACGGTGAATAAAATTGTAATACGTTGATAATGAGTTAAGTTGTTAATTTTAACTTCACCATAACAAAAGCTCTTTGTGCAAGAGAGCTCTTCCTTTTTTGTCTCCCGTTGGAGACAACAGTCTCTGGGAGAGAGCATTTTGTCCTGTCTGTCAGCAAAAGTCATGAAAAATGCACTTGCCCTTATTTCTGTACACAATTTTTTTTTTTATTTTGGTGATGTGTCTTATAATTCTAGGTTAGAATTTCTACCTTTGTGAGATAAATTATTCAACCATATTTGGGAAAAAGAGGGAGAGAAGCAACGGTGTTTTCTGCAGCTAAACCATGTTGTGGCTTTGCTCAGTGACTGGCTGAAGGCTCTCCAGGAAATGTGCGGATGCCAAAGAAGCTGCTGGGGGTGATTCAGCTGCTTGCATTGCTTGCCTAGGAACTTGTACAATTAGTACTTGGCAGTGCTTTTTAGGATGGCTTTAGAAATTTTAATAAAAATGTAATAAAAAAAATAGGAATTAATTGAAACACTGTAGAATGCACCCCAACCACAGTTGCTGGAATTTTCATTAGGACAAGTTTTCTAATATGTGAAGTTTTCTGCTCAAAACCAAACCAAAAATAGCTGCTCATATGTCTTTTTTTTTTTTTTTTTCCCTTGAGGGGGGAGGAGATGAATTCAATCTACCAGCATTCGTAGTGCCAGAGCACATTTACCTTATCATCATCATCATCATGGTAAAGAATTGATGAAACTTTGTTTTTCATCTGAATTAGATATTGATACGCTCTGAGCTGGTTTCAGGATTTACTTGGTACTCTACAGAATTAGAGACTTTTCATTCTGTGCAGGCTGAATTGATCCCTATGTAGAATTTTTAGAGCCACTGGCCTTCTGTGGTATAAGAAGTGCTATCTAAGTGCCAGCTATTAAAACTATGAAGTTTTAGCGGCAGCTATATATTGGAAAATATACCAATTACAGATCTGTATACTGTTATGTTTCTAGCTGTAATAGGATTTGTTTTGTATTTACAGAGCAGAGTATGGACTAATTTCTTTGTAACAGGGGGTTTTCTAAGCTTTAAGTGTGTGCAATACAACATAACCTGATTATTCTTTGCAGTGCAGAACACATACGGAATTCAAGGCACGTTGGTGTTAGTTGAGGTCCATTAATAAACTGAGAATTTGGAAGGTGACAGAGCTGCTTTCTGCATGTCAGTCATTTGTTAGCTGTTTAATCTGAGAAAGTCACTGATAAAAACTTTACTTTGATGTTAACTATTAATTTGGAGCAAAACCCAGGCCTTCAATTTTTAGAGCTGTATAATTTAATCAGTGTTCAGAAATAAAATCTAAAGTCTAATTATTAATGAATATATGTGAACTAATAATAATTTTAGATAAACATTGTTTTAAATTGAGGACTCAAAATGAGTTTGGCAGGAAATGTTACTGATTTTGTATGGTTTTATATAAATGATTGTATAAAACAGGTTTAAATATTTGGTGTTCTTTTTTTCAGTTGAAACTGYGATTGGGAACAACTATAAATAGGTGGAGAGAGGCTAAGATGAAGTTGTGATTGTTATTTAGGGTGTTATCAATGTTGTAGCATGAGATCAACATTTGTCTGTGAAGAAAATATTAGTAAGGGACGTTGAGAAAGCAAAAAGGACTTGAAAGAGAAGAACTGAAGCAAACCAACTGTTGAATTTCCATAGATTTGCAGGGTTGAAGTATGTGCTAATTAAATACTTTGGCAAGCTCTAGCCTTTATAAAAGGTTGTGTTCATTTGTTTTGGAAGAAATCAGTAGCATCGAAAGGTTATTGACACACTCTCCYGTCACTAGGTGATGGCAATAAAAATTCAAGCACAACAGCTAACCGATTAAATTTTTAGGTGAATTAGGCCTTTAAGTCCTGTTTTCAAAAGCAATAGAAGCAACTTTGAAAAATTTTACCACTTCTAAAGGACCTTTAACTTTGATGTTATATTACATAAGAAAAATGAAACACAGTGGGCTTTTCTATCTTTGAAAATTTTGACTTTTTCGCACTTAAGGCTTGGATCCTTATACCAGGAAATTGCTTTTCTTGCAGCAACTTGTAATTATCTGTTCCCCATTTCCTATTTCAAAATAGATTCTGGAGCTTACAGAAAATGTGATAAAGCAATAATATACTTTTCAAAGTTGTTTTGTTATTTTACAGCATGTTTTCCCTCCACTTGATGGGTGTGGTTTTTTTTTTTTTTTTTTTTTTTTTTTTTTTTTTTTGAAGTAGAAAGCATCGATAGAATTCTGGATTTTCATAATGGACTTAATTGCTATGCTACTTCTGGAACTGGAGAATTTCAGTTGCTGATGTAAAATTACAAGAAAAAGATTGGCTCCTAATTTGGCTTCTGTTTATTTCACAAAATGCACAAGCACTTTGCGAATGGCAGCAAAGCAACTGGACTCAATTACATTCTAAAATATTTAATTTGGAGAAGTAAAAAAAGCCCACACTTTTTAGCTCAAATAATGTCTCATTTTAC